TTGATGGTTGTGATTATATAATTGTCAGTTCTGAGAACACCATTCATAAATTCATAGCGCAAAGTAGTAGGAGTGTGTCTATGGTTATTATAGAACTGTTGGTAGGAGGTCATTTGTAATCCCAAGCCAAAATTCACTCAGCTCTTTCTTTAGAAACTCATGTCAGCAATTTAAAATGAAACATTTTAATACAATACAACTCAAGGATACACTGATTTGGTGGGTGCTAAGAAAAGATGGTAGGGAAATACAAGTTGTCATTTTCTGTAACTTGAGCTATTACGTTTCTGTGGGAAGGAAAAACTCTTGGCATGCACAATAAAAACCCTGCAGCTCGAAACATACAATACTCTTGAATCTGAGCCAAAGTATTTGTAGGCAGCATTAGTTCTGAGATATGCCAGCTTGTGCAGTACAAAGTCCGTGTTGAGTGTTCAGAACCAAGGTTGTTATGAAGTATCATAGTGCTGGTGAACTCTTCCAGAAACACCTCAGATTCATCACCTGCTTGATTTTGAATTAATTTTTGTTTATTGCACATTCAGAAATGTTTTACTGTTGCTAACGTTTTCATGGTCCCTGCATTTAGTTATATGACTTCATACAGGGTCACAGTTTAAGATGATAGGGTTTCCACCAAGAATTGGTTACTGCTTTTTGAGTCATTGGCCAATGGGGTCACATAGACCCCCATCCCCAAGCATTACAGGCTATTGCCAATACTCTTGACTACCCTTCTGAACTTCATGGTAAGACCTTGGTGAAGACATCACACACTTGAGTCACAGAACCTGGGGAAATCAAGCTGGTACTCATCAGGAAGCTTAATCCCTACTGGCTATCATCCATGGTTCTGAATGGTGCTATTCATGATGCTGGAGGAGAAAATTAAAACTCAGTCTCATCCTGCTGTGAAACCTGCAAGCTACAATGGTGACTGACCTGACAAGATCTTCCCACTGGTGCAATAGTGGCATTAATGTTATGGGAATAACCAACCACTTTCCGCTTGGATCTAAGGCCTACTTCATGCAATGTAACCCATACACAGCACTGTTAAAGAGGGTCAAGGCTAGATAGGTCACAGGTCCTATAGTACTGGAGAACCCAATACTATTATTAACACGACTCCCAATAGTTTACATAGATCAGAGCATCTCTTAACTTCCATCAGAGAAGCTTCTTTCAGTGAGATGGAAATTAACACATTGACCCCCATCCCTGAACCAATCCATGTACAGAGAATAAGAGATTGGGCCATGCTTTAACTATGAATGGGGGAACATATATCACACCCTTGCCCACCAGTGCTCTGGGATCTTCACAGAAGAGGGGGCAGAAAGGTTGTAAGAGTTGGAGGTGGTCTATAACAGCAAAGAAACTGTTTTCCAGTTACAACAGGGCAGTAGCTCCCACAGCCACCACGACAGCACGCACAACACTTGCACATGCTCCAGAAAGAAAAAAGAGCCCAGCACAGAGGGCAGAAGGTAGGCATGCCAATCCCATCACTGGCTGAAGAGCCATTGGCATCTGGTAGCTCCTGAGAGAGACTGAGTCCAAAGGCAGGCGGAAGTCCCTCTTCTTGAGGACCCCTCTCGAGAAAAAGACCCCCGTTGGAGAAGCCCTTCATTTCGGCCCTGCATTCTGGAGGGTGAGCTGCTTCCTGCAGATGGTGTGCTCTGCTGTTGGAAATCCCAACATCTGAACAGGGCCAGGAAGTTTCCTGTGATTGCTGAGAAGCTGTGGCACATTTTGTGTATACTCAGTACCAACACTGAAGTGGGCAGCAGGAAATAACTATGCTGGTCCTGCTACGCTCTACATGTTCATGTGTGCGTGCGTGCGTGCGTGCGTGCGTGCGTGCGTGTGTGTGTGTGTGTGTGTGTGTGTGTGCGCGCGCGCGCGCGCGTGCGTGCATGCGTGTGTGTGCGTGTGTGTGTGTATGTGCGTGCGTACATGCATGTGTGTGTGCGTGTGTGTCAAAATGAGCTCCTATGCAGAGGGAAGCAAACAGTGACCTCACCAAAAGGGCAGGAGAGCTCACTGAGTGATTTCAGAAGCCATCCCAGCAGATCATTTGAGTTGTTGTTTTCTCTGACGATTGACCTGAGGGCATCATATGTGCTAGTCAAACTTACCACTAAACTACACCTCTGGTCCCTTAGACTCTTCTCCAGTAAACAGAAGGAAATAAAGACCGGAAAGGACAGCTAGGTTCTGGCCAGTGTTATGGACAAACAGTTCTAAGAAGACCTGGAGCTCAGGAAAGAGGTGAGGACCCAGGGAGGGTGACACTGGGGCTTTAGTATTCCAGACCAGTGAGCCTGGAGCACAATTGATGAGTCTCTACCATGATGCATTCCCAAAGAAATGTCTACCGGACTGTTCTATTAATAGTTAATATATCTTCATTAAAAAACATCTTCATAGCACCGTCTAGACTAGAATTTGACCACATATCTGGGTACCATGGCCTAACTAGGCTGACATATAGAACTCAGAATTACAGTTGGCTTTTGGTGCATACTTGAGTATTATTATTGATTCTAACCTTTGTCTGTCTGTGTATTTCTCTACTCTCCATCTCTATAATAAAAATTAGATTACGCAAATACATAACAAAGATTTTCACAATATAATTCTTGAAACCAGGGGATGACTAGGGGGCTTATAATTCTTGGATAACTTAAGCTACTGTTTTCATGCCTAATTAATATAAAATTAGACTAACTACCAGGACCTGAGATCTTGGGAGCTGAATAAACCCAAAGACAGCAGATGGATTGGAAAGTAGAAGAATAGATGTTAAATACGCAGTTTAAATTTGTATCTTTTTAATCAACTAGAGGCTTCTCAGATCTCTCAAGAATGAGCTTCAGGACAAAGTAAGTAATTGGTTATTAGGCACAAGAGAAACACTTTTTTTTTTTTTTTTAAAGCAACCTGATAGACCATGCATGGGACAATGCTGCCATCTTGTGGTACTGTGCAGTATTTTTCTCCCCTAGAACAGATTCTCA